CAAAAATTCCTTCCTTTATACCATCTAACGACATTAAGGTTGTTCATCCTGGACGTTTAAGCAAAATCTGCCATCCGGTTTAAGAGGAGTTGCGGGCTCACAAATTTCTACATAGTATATAGTGAAAAATCAACAAAGGGCAATAATTCTGTTAAATTTGGTCGAGCAAAAATTCCTCCTTTATACTGCCATTTACACATTAAGGTTGTTCATCCCTGGAAGTTTAAAAAATCTGCATCCGGTTTAAGAGGAGTTGCGTTCACAAAATTTCTACATAGTATATAGTGAAAAAATCAACAAAGGGCCATAATCTGTTAAATTTGGTCGCAGGCAAAAAATTCCTTCTTTACTACCATTTACACCTTAAAGGTTTGTTTCATCCCTGTAAGTTTAAGCAAAAATCTGCCATCCTGTTTAAGAGGAGTTGCGTTCACAAAATTTTACATAGTATATAGTGAAAAAAATCACAAAGGGCCATAATTATGTTAAATTTGGTCGCAGGCAAAAATTCCTTCCTTTACTACCATCTACACATAAGGTTGTTCATCCCTGTAAGTTTAAGCAAAATCTGCCATCCGGTTTTAAGAGGAGTTGCGTTTCACAAAAATTTCTTATGGTCTATGGTGAAAAAATCAACAAAGGGCCATAATTCTGTTAATTTGGTTGCAGCGAAAATTCCTTCCTTAACTACCATCTACACATTAAGGTTGTTCATCCTGTAAGTTTAGCAATCTGCCATCCGGTTTTAAGAGGAGTTGCGTTCACAAGATTTCGGAACGTACAGACGGACGGACGGACGGACAAGTGCAACGCTATATGCTCCCACATTGTGGGGGCATAAAAACGCATGGGATTAATGAGAAGGGTGATGAAAAGGAACAAAATTCTCATGTGTCACAAATGTGTAACTGAAACTGTACTGTTATATCAACAAGGCTTAAAAAGACGGAATAAATAAGTGGTCATGAAAAAGCAATGTTGCATTTTTTGCAAACATAACATAGCAGAATATTTCGAGCAAATATTTAATTAAAAATGTTCCACTGAGCGATTAAACCATTAAAAATATTACAAAAGAGATGGTATGGACAATTTTGTTAATTTTTTGTTGTTGTTGTGTTGTTTTTTGTTTTGTTTTTCAACAAGATATTATGTCAATTTTCATGGCGATTATTGGTTAGAACGACATGTAGTTTTTCGAGATGTAAGAAATATACATAAATAGTTTTGATTAATTATACATGTATGCCAAATATAATTGGAATGTGAATTTTAGAGTGTAGATATTTTGTACAAGTTTTGGTTCCAACAGGTATTGTACGAACCAACCTTTTTTTTAAATTTTATTTGGGTTAGTTAAAAATATTGTTGCGAAAACTTCTCTTTTGTGAAAAGTTTTGTTTATTCACTCTTTTCGCTTAAAAGTAAACCATTTCTCTATGTGGTATAAAGAACAAGTCAAGGTCAAGTGGAAAGCAGGATTATATTTATTGCAGTAAATCAAAATAATGCATCATATTATTTTCTATCTACAGTCCCAAACCAAAGTAAAAATTTTTCTTTTTAAAAAAAACCAAAACTTCAACAAAAAGCATTTTCTTCATTACTAGCAAAAACTAACTCCAAAACTACCAAAAACTCCAAACTCAAAAACCACCAACTCACATTCAAAACTCCTAAAAAATACCCAACCCAGCTAGAAAAGTTCCCAGCTTATATACCCTTCTGTTTGCGAAAGCTAGGGTGGTGTGCAAAAGTAATTGGTCGCGCGACCACTTGCGCTAACCAGTTTTGGCACACAACTCATTGCGCGACCCTGAAATGTTGCGCAACCTATTTAAGTGCTGACAATGGCTTAACAATGTTTAAAAATGGCCTGAAAAGTTAGGTAAAAGCTGTTGTACCATAAATAAGTAAAAAAAATTTAATTGGGTTGTTTTTAAAATTTTTAATGTTATCCTCAAAAAGCATAATTTTTATCTTTTCCAAAAATTTGCAATTAATAATGAAATAGTGCAAAAAAAAACTTGTTTTTAAAAAAGATATATGTATTATATGGTTTTTAAAAAAAAAACCCACTTACTACTGTTTGAAATTTCTAAAAACCTTAAAATACTGCTGTTTAAATTAAATTAAAACAATAGAAATAAAATTCCCCAAATTTACAAATAAAGCTAAATTTAAACCGAAAGTAATGTAATAAAAAAAGGCAGAAAGGGAAACCCCCATTATAAAATTGATATGCCCAATTTTCCCTTTTTTTAAACAAAAATTGAAAATGCTAAAGGGTTTAAAAATAATTAAAAATTGTATTTTTTGTCTGCCCCACCTCTTTTTTGGCCGCGAACTCTCCATATTTTTTTGGAACTAGCATGCCTGGGAAAGGGCTGAATTTCTGCGCGACTTTCCTTATTGCGCGACCTTAAGTGTCGCCGCGACCTTGTCTGAGGCGACCTTTCCAAATTTGGAATGAGGTATGCTCATAATATCAAAAATAACTGAGCTGTGCCAAAATTCTGGACCTGTTATGACTCAATTGTTTTAACCAAAAAATGAGTAAAAACATAAACAGTTTTAACCGGCTTAGAAATGTTTGTCCAGATTATACCATACCTAAAAGAATTAACTCTTCTAGTAATAAGACTAGTTTAAATTTAATAACACTATATTGAAGTTTTGAGTGACTTTAAAAAAAAATACGTAAAAGTGTGTATTGGTAAGAAATCTTGTTCATTCTTGAATGATTTTCTTTCCCCTGTTTATAATATCTTAAGATTTCTTCTAATATGCTCAATATGATAGTCTACAAAATATTTTAATTACTAAACGAATTTCATCGTATTTTTGCACATTTTTATCTCTTGCAGCTTCACCCATTGTTGCTATTTTCCGATGTTGTAATTTGGGACAAGAATGTTTTAATTTTCATTGACAAAACTTATTCAAGGTGCATTTATCATAATGTCAAACCTTATTTTAGGTGCATTTATCATCATGTCAAACCTTATTTTAGGTGCATTTATCATCATCATGTCAAACCTTTTTTTGGGGGGTGTATTTATCATTATGTTTTATCCAAATCGAAATCATTTGCAGGTGCAGCCATTGTTGTTTTCGTCGTTGTTTTTTTTTTCGAAGGGATGTAACTTCAGAAATATCTGTTGTTGCTGCCGTTTGTATTTTGGCGGTTTTGTTGTCGTCGTAATTTTGGGATTTGTAACTTCAATTTTAAATCGCATTTGTCGTGCATTTAAAAAAAATCATATAAGTTTTAACATTTTTGTCATTTGCCGTCGCAGGGCTGTTTTATGTCGTAGTATTTTTTAATGTTCATTATACATATTATTGTTTCTTTTTCCTAGATTATTAAAGAAAAGTATCGGTTTGAGCGGTGTTTATCGGTTGTCAAAAATGTACATTTGTACGTAGAAATAGGCCACGGAGGCCGCATCAAAACGACGAATATGTGTTTAAAATATCAGACAAACACTGGTCAGAATCATATTGTCTCGATTCTAACATGACTACGAAAAAGATGACTACCCTGCGTTTTCATATTGGCTACCCTTTTTTTCGCACCTTACTTTGGGTTTTGAGTTAACTATATATGAAAATATAAATATACAAGTCGTGTGTATTACTTTCCATTATGCTATCACTTTATTAGCAATTTATTCTTGCATATCGGACTTGATTTTCTAATCTTTATAAACTCTCCACTGGAATTGGTCCGAGTTGCGCTTTCAGCCGCCGATAATGAATAATTTAAGTGTTGTTTTTTTTTTAAAATACATCAAAACTTAGTTGAAAGAGATCGACATGAAATTCAAAATTCGACGCATGGCCGTTCTTGAGATGTTTTGATAGGATTATATATATAGAAAACAAAATATCAATAAGATGTTTTATTTCTTCGTTGAATATATTTTTAATGCATAAAAATAGTGGTTTACAGCAAACAAAATACTGTTATATTTTTCTTTTCAAAAATATTTTATTTTCAGGGTTTGCAAACTCTTCTTTATTGAAACATGACTTTTTTCTTATTCATGTGAGAATTGAATTAAAGCACGTTTTGTGAATGACACATTGTCCACATTCTTGTTACAACAGCAGAAGTACTGCAAGCTAGATGTAGCCATGGCCTGACCATAAAAGTGGAGGTCACATAAGTATGTGAAACGATAATAACATGTATGTGTGTTTATTATGTCTTGTATATTTTTAAATATCTAACTGCAAGTGTATTTGAATGTTTTTAAATGTATTTTTTGGTCAAAATTATTAGATTAAAATACTTTTCTTAATGTTTCTTGACTTGTTTGTTAATTTGTTGTATCCACAGAACAGACATTCTTTTATATATCAATCAAGTTAGCATTGGAAGCTCAACAAGCTCAGTGAAAGTTAAGCTATATAGTGATATAGTAGTTATATCGAGATGAATACAAGTCTTTTAAGAGATTTATTCAATAGTAATAATGAATAAACTTTACAACCCAAATATTTAATCATATCATTGCTGATGTAATATTTACCGTTTATGTCAGCATAATCTAGTTGGAGGTACAACTAGTCTTAATTAGTGTTTTCATACTGACACAATAAAAGACACATGACAATATTTCAGGTTTGGCTCGTGACAAAATTCGCACGTGCCGATTCGTGCATAACTTTTATTTCAGGCACGAGATGACACATGGGGGTAGCAGAGAGTTGAATCGTTCTTTACTATCTATAAAGAGCTGCCATTATCTCACATAAACTTCATAACACAAAATGTGAATATGGCAACGGATTCGCAATACATCTATAATTCAGCATAAATGTGAAAAGCGGAAAGTGTGGTTTGCAATGGCGGCATGTTCACTTTACATGACATGACATTGAGAATAATTGAAAAATCAATGACTTTATAATTATTATAATTATGTAATATTAGGGTAACATCTACTTATTCTTTTAGTTGAAATAGCTAAGTATTATAATAGAGTCTCACACAAAATTTTAGCTGACTTTATTAGCACTTTATTACACACTTGCATTTTCAAATTTATTTCCCAACTTGAGCTTGTGGGTTGAAAAAGTTAAAAGACATCGAGTTGTATTTATCTGGGTCAAAATTTCCAGTAGATACGCTGCCCCCTCCGCCCCCACTTTGACCTAGTTTGGACTGGGAAGGGTCTAGAAAATTTGTCTGCACTTGATTGACTTTGTTTGCGTCAAAAGTCGGCGCAGATCCGCCCCCACTGCTGCTGCCACCACTACTACTGCCCCCGCCACCGCCTGGAAAATAAATCAATGTTGCTGCGATATATTTTTACTTTATATGGTCTGTGGAAATATAGATTTGTTCAATCTTTCTCTTTAAACTTTTAAATCAATTTTCATACATTTGTCGACTCATATTAAGCATACATCTTTACATTCAGTCATGTGAAAATTTATTATTTTGTTAGGGACATGAGAGAAGTCTTACGTATCGCTAACGAACAAACCAAATCAAACAGGTCCACTTTTATTTATTGCTCTTGGGGGTTCTCGAACGAACGTTATTTGAAAATGTCGATTTGTCGATAAATTAATAAGAATAGTAAGTTATGATAATATAATAATAATATATTATGTTATCTTAAAAGTCTTAAAAGCCATCAAACTTCGAACTGTTTCTAGTTAATGCTATCAACAAAGAGTCACCAATGGTCAAGATCAAAGTTGAATTGTATCTCGTCTAAATCAAATACTTTTGAACGATAGACAACAAGAAGTAAAATAAAATCTACCTGACTGAGCTTGAGGGTTAAAGAAGTTAAACTTCATTGTGTTGAACTGATCAGGGTCAAATGATGCACCATTAACCGAGCCAGCACCATTACTAGCACCGAGTTGTTGCTTGCTAGGGTCTAACATATTGGCTGTTAATTGATTAACGCTGTTTGGATCAAAGCTTGGAGCTTGCCCTCCACTACCCCCAGTTTGGGACTGGCGTTTGATCTTGTGCACTGAAAAACGTATTTATTTCTGAAAAGTCTTTAATTCTTATCCTACCAAAATATTTGTAAAATTATCTGTATCTGTCAAGAGCAAATGTAAAGCGATTCGAAATTCTATTTCACTTCAAGATTATTTCAATAAAATGTTGTTAAAGTTTCATCAATTGTACAGGACTTTATTTGTGTTATTCCGTATTACAAGATTGTTCCAATCCTTTAATCACAGGCGGCCGCTACTGTATGTTCTCGATCGTATATTTGTTATCAACATTACTAAACGTATAACGGTTGTATATCAAATTCATATTTACTGAATATTTATGTGTATTTAATTGTATATCCTAATAAAATAATGAAATTAAAGTTATTTCACTGGGCAAATGCCAGTTAAAATAATTTTACATTGAAAGAATATGAAAAAGAAAACTCGAGAACACAATGTAGTACAACCTGTTCTACGACGTCGTTTTCCTGTGAACGCTGAAGGATTGAAGAAACTAAATGTCTGGGAGTTGAAGGCATCGGGATCAAACCCACCAGCTGCACCGCCACCCTGACCAAGCTTGGACGAGGACGGATCCATGAAATTTGTATTTATCATATTTACTTTGTTGGGATCAAACTTTGGCATCTGTCCTCCTGTTGTTGAATATTTAACTTTGTTTATTTTTTCAAACTTAGATATGGAAATATTTTCAATGCTTTAAATTTAACTAATTGCAAAAATCAAAGGCATAGAAGAAGATAATTAAAATGTTTAAGCACAATCTACTGTTTGTATGACAATAATATCGTTGAATTTTCAAAAACAACTTCACAAATAGCCCGTTTTGAAAAAAATTATAAATGTCCAGTTGTACATTAATTCACAGAGATTTTTCTGTCAGAAAAAAGTACAATATAGAAATCTAATGGAATATGTCTTAATTTAATTATAATACTTGTTAATGACATCATAAATTAAGTTATATGTTTTAGATTGAAAGCAGACACATTACCTCCGGAACTACTTCCACTTGAAGAGTTACCACCTGAACTACTTCCGCCGGAAGTACTTCCACTTGATGAACCACTACCACCAGATGAAGTTTCCGCTTCCGGTACTTCCACCACTGCTTGCACCACTACTGCTTGCACCACTGCCCCCAGCACTTTATATATATATATATATATATATATATATATATATATATATATATATATATATATATATATATATATATATATATATATATATATATATATATATATATATATATATATATATATATATATATACAGTTATGTATAAACAACAGGACTATTTTACGTTCTTAAGGGATTCTTTTTCCTCCATATAAAAAGACAAAAATACCACCATTTTAATCAATTAAAACACAGTATTTGTATGAATATCGGCCATGAAAATTCTTTTTAGTTCAATATATTCTAGATTCTTGATATAAATTATGTCAAATACATGGGCTATTTTTAAAGAAATCCGAAAAAAACTCCATTAATTCGTAAAGATACACGTTCTAGTCAACCGTACTGTGAATATGTTTGTTGGAAACTAAATCTATTGCTGACATCTTGCATATAATATTCATCTTGTGCAAAAGTTTCCATATCGTCATAACATACTGTATTGCATCGGTCTAAAACCTACTGGATTAAACGGAAAAGATAATTCAAGTCCACGTTTTTATCTAAAAATATGACACTCTAAACAGAACTATTATCCGGCAATAGTGGTAGAAGTGAAGAAAAATGTGACGCATCACTTCTTGTTTATCATCACAGATTACAAATGTTCCATACCCTGTTACTACGACTAAAATTACTCAAAAACACCCCTTCGAGTGAAACGTTTAAATTGAAGTTTTCACGTAGAAGAACCAGATGTCTCTCCTCTGATAGAATTATGGAGTATTTTCAGTACCCCTTGTACAAGACTTAACAATATCAACCGTCTTCTGGTGTGAGCGCCGTCAACATGTAACTATGATGGTGACTACAGATAAAAGTTTATCACTCAAAGTATGTACTTACCTGCCACCATTTAAAAATTGAGACGGATTTAACAGAAATGACGGCGGCTGCATGTTCTGTTGCAATGCGCCTGAGCTAGACCCCGATCCAGTCTGAGAACTGCCGGAACTTGATCCAATGGAACTACTGCCGCCCGAACTTGTTCCACTGGAAGTACTGCCCGAACTTGTTACACTGGAAGAACTGCCCGAGCTTGTTCCACTGGCAGATCCTACAGACGAACTGCCAGAACTAGTCCCGCTTGCTGATGAACCACTGGAAGCCGTGCCACTGCCTGATGATACACTAGGTGGTGGAACAGCTGAACCTGATACCCCGGTTTGAGTCTGACGTCGCTCTGAAAGGTTTGAAAAACCGACATTGTATGCTAAGAGACTCGGTGTACAACTGAGGAAATTATTCCCTAAACTTGTGAGTATTCTATTGATCTCGCTATGTTTAAACTATCTGTCATGTGTAACATGTGTGTAATTTTAATAACTAACCAGTACATCTGCATCTTTGACTTATCCTCTGTGCAATCTTCAGTTCACCAAATTTGTCAAAGATACATATATCTATTACACCACTTTATACTTGTTAAATATTGATTCATTTTTCCGGAGTTACAAAGAACTTATTCCAATAAAATTTGTTTTTATTAGAAATAACATAATGCCGTATTTTTATAATATATCCACAAGGTAGGTTTTAATACATACTTCTACCCAACATCTGATTGGGATTAAATGACCCTGCTGGTTGCTGGCCTCCGTTTGTCCCGAATATATTTTGGGTTAAATTGACTAATTCCAGAAAACCCGACTGTGCTTTTTAGATCCCGTTCTGAGTCTGGATCTGAAACGGGTTCATGTTCGAACCTGAAAACCCCGAGGTTGGACCTTTTGATCCAGATCCGGACAAACTAGAGAGCCAGAGAACCTGCTGCCTGGGATCGGCTGTCCTGAACTGAATCCCGAAGAACTCATTTGTCCCAGAGTTTATGCCACTTCTCGGGAATGTTATATTTGCTCCGGATTGACCGCTACTTGTAAATCAGCTGCGCTTTGCTGTCCGGTTGCTTCTGTGTATTAAATGGCTGAATACCGCCCCTGTGTACCATTCTGGGTTTGGTTCCCGTTTAAATTGTGACATGCCGCCATTCATCGTAAGACCTGAAGTACTCTTCTGACCCGCAGAGGATTGAGTACAAATGGACCTCCATGTGAGAACGGAAGTTTATTCATGTATGTCATTGGGTCAAAATTGCCCATTGATTGTGTCTGGCGGATATTTCTAGCATCTGAAAACACGAAACTAGCTACCAACACCTTCTATTTATCTTTATAATCATTAGTATTCCGTAATAATAATTTAGATTACAGGATTATATCTTGAAATTTATAAATATATAAATTACTAAATGCATAACACGATCTGGTGTAACAGTGTGTTAGTATTTCTTAATTAATATCCTCATGACAGTAGCATTGTACGATTGTCATATACAATTATTGTTGTTTTTTTTTTCCCCATTTTTTTTGGGGATATTTTTCGTATACGTCATCGAGGGTTTTTAAAAGGCTTAACAAAACATATTTGTATGCTTTAAAAGTTTTATTTAACCTTTTTTAGATTTTTATCGTCGTTTAAAAAGAGGGGTAATGACCTTTTCCGTGCATTAATATCAGCAGAAGTACGAAAACATATATAATCCACGAGCCCCATTAACGAAACATGCGCAACAACGGCATGTGCTCCCTTAATTTTATCTGTTTATGCATGTTTTCTTCTCCATTAATGTGCTCATATACCTATATAATGTTTCGTTAATAAAATTACATTATCGAATTCTATCTTACCAATTCTAAAGCCATATCCGTACTGCAAAATAAGCGCTATTAAGAGCGCTTTAGTGACCATTTTACCCAGTTGCTCAATTCATGAATGGCGTAAATATTTACCGATTTCAATCTTATCTTCAGAATATCTTCCTTTTTGATAAGAAAGATTGCGGTCAAAATGTCACAACCTGTTTCGGCCAATCTACTCAGTGTTGCCAACAACTTGTCAATGAAACGGAAATTTCCGCAAATTTCCGAAGATAATTTCCCAATTGTAAATAGCTGAAAAGTCACGAAGATGTATACTCTCGTGTAAGAGTTACATAACTACCTACAGTATCATGTAATGGAACGCTTGTGTCATACCTTATAGAACAGCCTGCAAAAGTAGCAGAATTTTATGATTTAAAATTACGTAAGCAGCTTTTAAAACGCAACGCTGAGAGCTCGCTTCTATTAATGTAATTAGTTAGAGCTTAATTAGAGCTGATGGATGTTTATATTTGTTGTAAATGTTTGATTGTTGGTGGATGTTTATATTGTTGTAAATATTAATTGCTGGTTGATGTTTATATGTGTTGTAAATGTTTGATTGATTGTGGATGTTTATATTTAGTTTAAACATATTTTATTTCTCAGAATATATATACATGTTATAATTCACAATATACAGATGCAATTCAAATATTCTTAAAAAACAGGATTAGAATGAAAGACAACATGTCTTATGAAATTCTTCTCCTAAGTGAGTAATTGACATGTAATAGGCGCTTAAATAATTACATATTTTATAATCTGAGACGAATATAATATAGAAAAAAAATCTTGAAAACAAAATATATTAGAGAAAAAGAAAACACAGAAATTGATATGTATTCAAATGCTTTAAGAAACATTGTATATGTCATGTATGTTCTATTGAATAAATTTAGGATGAATACATATTTAGAATGAATATATCAATAGATTGAATTAACATTCAAATAAATATTATCATAAAAAGTAGAAAAGTATTTGACAATAACACAGAAAGGTGAAAAGGTGAAAAGATGTTTATATTTATTGTAAATCTTTTATTGGTGGCGAATGTTTATGTTTGTTGTAAATGTCTGACTGATGATGAATGTTTATATTTACTTTGCCAGGTCTTTTTCTTAATTTTCAAAGTGTAACATTATTAGTATCTTTTATGGAATAATTTAAATGATGCATATTTTCATCAGCTTTTCTTCATTATGATCATTGTCATTTTACCCTGGACTCTTTCCAAAATGTTTTTCAAAATATGTTTCATTAAGTTTAATTTTCTTTTTTATATTATTTGTCTGTCTTTTTTTGTTAGTTTGCCGTCGCCTACAGTCCCCTTATGCATTTATCCAATGACCCTTTTCACGTCCGCCATGTTTATATTTGCTATTTATTTATATCCCCATGGGTAATGATCTAATGTCGTGGCGGGCATCCGTGGGGTCATTTAACAATCGTAGACAGTTGACTTACATGAATACAAATCTAAACAAAATCTTAGCATGTCTTTTTGCAAAAATATTAAGATTTATTTGTTTACGTTTGTGTAAGAAATTATTTAAATTTGTTAAACTTACAGCTAGATCCTCTATTAACCTTCAATTCATCATAGTCTTTTATCTAATCACAAGCCTCTTACATACCATGATTTTTAAATATAAACATGCAAGTTATTCTAATAAAAATATTTCACTCGACAACTTTAATATATTTATCTGTTTGTTATATTTAGTGTATTTATTAATTTTGTCTGGTGACGTTGAGACCACCCCAGGTCCATTGATTAATCGAGAAAATTGTTTATCTATATTTCATCAAAATATTCGGAGCATTAGAAACAAATTTGATGTTATAAATGACAATTATTTAGATATGGATATTCTGTGTTTTACGGAGTCCAAACTTGACGTACATGTACAAGATAGTTATTTGAAATTAACGGGTTTTCATTTTATGTTTAGAAAGGATATATCCAGTTACTGCGGCGGGATTTTAGTTTACGTATCATCATTTCTAAGACCTAGACGACTTTTTACTTTAGAAAATGTACTTCCTGAATCAGTTTGGATTGAGATAAACGATAAAAAAACAATCATATCTACTATGTACAATTTATAGACCGCCACGCTACACCGTCGCATTTTGGGACAAATTAAATAGATGTTTAGAAATAGCTTCTGATCAAAAACAAAATATAATCTTGGTAGGTGATATAAATGAAGACCAACTCAATTCTTCCAACCATAAATTCCGTGACATTCTTTTACTAAATAATATGACTAATTTTATACATGCCCCAACTAGAATAACATCTACTTCACAAACATTACTTGATCCTATCGCAGTTACAAATAATATTTTCGTTTTTCATCCAGGTATATTTGAAACACCAAAAGAAGTTAGTGACCATTGGAACATATATTTTTCTAAAAATCGATTTTGATTCAAATAAACCATTCAAAAGACGTGTTTGGAATTATAAAAAAGCTGATTTTTCAAAACTTAATAATCTTATCAGCAATACTGATTGATCAGATATAAAAATGAAAATATAGATCAAGCTTGTGACTTTTTCTGATAAATTCTTAGAACTTGCAAAACAGTGTATTCCTACGTATATGGCGTTGATAAGACCTAAGGATAAACCCTGGTTCAATTCAGAAATTCGCAGAAAATCTCGCCAAAGAGATAGACAGTTTCACAAAGCATTAAATTCTAATAGATCATCAGACTGGGTAATATATAAACAATTAAGAAATACAGTAAATAATATGAAAAAACATGCAAAAGAAATATTTTATAATAACCTTGAATTTTCCCTAAATGACTTAAATTCTTCGAATCCGCGTAAATATTGGCATACAATTAAAATGCTTGTCAGGGAAAACTCGTCGAATACTGAAAGTATACCACCTTTAAAATGTAACACAAGTAACAATAATTATTCAATGACAGATTTTGAAAAAGCTAATACGCTTAATGATTTTTTTGTTTCCATTTCAGACCTTGACGAATCAAATATTGATCTTCCAGATTTTTCATTAAGAACAGAAGCGATTCTTGAAAATTTTACAATAAGTGAACAGGAAATTACAGATATTTTGGCAAATTTATTCGTAAACAAAGCATCCGGGCCTGACGAAATTAGTCATAAAAATGTTAAAAGAAACGTCTAAAACACTGTGTAAACCACTCTCTTTGCTTTATAACCGTTCTTTATCAGAGAAAATATATCCGTCTAGTTGGAAATTAGTCCATGTAATGCCTCTTTTTAAAAAAGGTGACAAAGATATACCGTCAAACTACAGGCCTATTTCTCTTATCAGTTGCACCGGCAAAGTTATGGAACGTATCGTTTTTAAACATATTTTTAACTATCTTCATGAAAATGCTTTAATATTTCAAAATCAATCAGGTTTTCTGCCTGGTCATTCAACTGTTTTTCAACTTATAGATATATATGATCAAATTTGTAAAGCTTTAGACAAAAAAGAATCAACATGTATGGTTTTCTGTGATATATCAAAAGCGTTTGACAGAGTTTGGCATAAGGGTTTAATTTTCAAATTAAGACAGTACGGAATATCAGGTGATTTAATTCTTTGGCTAGAAAATTATTTAATGAATAGAAATCAGAAAGTTTTTGTTGGGACTTCTTTTTCTATTTTACGTTACCTTCATGGCGGTGTCCCTCAAGGCTCGGTTCTTGGGCCTCTTTTGTTTTTAATATACGTTAATGATATTGCCGATTCCCTTTTAAGTATAACACGACTTTTTGCAGATGATATCTTTAGCTGTGACTACAAATAATATTAGTACGATGGAATATAAACTCAATCATGATCTCAATATGTTAAATAAATGGTCTAAACAATGGTTGGTTAATTTTAATCCTTCTAAAACCGAGGTTATGTTCTTTTCGTTTTGTAATAGAGATCGCCCACAATTATACTTTGAT